GTTAAAGAGTAATTCTAACCTTTGCCTGTCTGCCCATGGGCTGTAGAAAATGAGGCAATTTTTGATAACACGGATTGTCATAATGCACCGAGGCCATGTGCAAAATATTTCTTTGTTTTCGGGTGAGAGCCGAAGCGTTTCAGATTCCTGTGGAATGACTCCTGAAAATTAATAAAATTTTAGTAAATTACTTAAGTGTAGAACCCGACAAGAGTAGATTGATAAAGAAATGTCTACATTTTATCCATCCCAAATACATGTATGCTTCACAATGAATGATCATTGAGACTAAATTAATCATATCATAACGCAACTACAACAGTTCAAGGCTCTCTCATTTGAGCGTCAATAAAGATAACTTAAAATAAAATGACATTCCATAAAGATGAGTAACTTTCGCAAGTATTGGCAAGAATATACTAATTATATAATAATATAGTCGCTTAGTTGTGTAACTTAAAGAAACTGAAAGAAATATTCTGGTTATCCCGACCGGAGAATCTCTTGTTAATATTACGTGAGAATACTATTTTCATATTTAAAAGCAAGAAATAAATTAACGTGCAATTCGCAATAGCTACCTGGTTCATCTTGCAGATAACATATGTGCCCCTTGCCAAAGTTAAAAATTTGGATACCGTTATCCAAGGTCTGAGGAGGCCTAAAAAGAAATAAAAAGAAAATTTAATTATAAATTATATTTAAGTATAAAATTATAACGAGATAAAACTAAAGAATTTGCCATAATAAAATTATTTTTTTCGTTTCCGAACAATGTTTTAATATATATCCAGCAAATTACAAAAATATTAACAAAGCAATATGAGCAACAAATTCAGTTATTAGTATTTAAGAACAGTAAAGATTAAACAGAAAGGAATAGGGAATAACAGCATTAAAATTAAAAGATTTTGAGCCGCAGTGGCAAAATGATAGTTATGTGCAGCCAAAAAAGCAGGAAAATTATATGATTAATAGGAAAAGACAACTCTATTTTGTAGGCATAGAGCAATCACACTAAGACATAGGCAATAATTTTGGTTAATAACCTGAATAAAATTGAAGTAAAAATAAAATAAAACACAATACGCTATTAAATCTTACTCCTCTATTGCATAGTGGCCAGAATATTTTTTTGAGGGAACGAATGAACCGATGATGTTAGAAAATTCCAAATCCACATAATGTTGATATTTGTCGTAAGCATAGGTTGCATCTCGGGTAGTATAGACTCCAGAAGCTCTTTCACAGGTCAAAATAAATGCCTTAGGGAGAAGGTGATTTCCAGCACATAATTTAGTCTAGAAACAAAACAAAGAATCATTATAGTGTAAAAAGCAATTGTGTAAGTAAGAAATTATACCAGCTCAAAGTTAAACTTGATAACCGGGAAGAGCAGCTTCCAGCGACTCCACATGTCATCCATAGATCCAGTACCTCGAGACTTACTAAAAAATAACTAAAAGTTTAATTACCCAGATATTCGTACATAGTCATCGTCAGACTTTTCTAAGATATGCTCTCTATCTAACGAATCAGATGGTGACATGGGCTTTAAGCTCGCTTGTTTAAAATTCCCAGTCTTTGATTTTTCTGAGGCAATGGAAAACAACCTTTGAAGAGCATCGTAAGCACTGTTCCGATTGTAGAGATGCACATCAACGCCGTAAAGGTAGATGTGGAGACATCTACGCTGTGGCTCAAGATCTAGATGTAAGAAAACGATATCAAAATGCCACAGGATTTAAGAAAGAAAAAAGCAGAATTACTTTTTTTTTCGGGGTTGTAGCTGACCCAATAATTCAAGACAATTATGGCATGACAGCAACGTAGAGTATAATCCTCATTTACTATAACAAGATTTCTTAGCATCAACTTCCCTCCAAGTACTGACAAGGAAATTGAGTCTAGGGAAGTAAAGTCGCAATGCATCGTACCTATGCGGATATATGTCCGTGTCACGATACGTCCCAAGAGAATAGATACGAGGAAACCAATGGCCCTCGAATTATAAAAAACAACGTAAATGACCCAAAAAATGAGTGATATAAGGGAAAGTAGGTATAAATGGAAATCGCCTTTGTCTATTGAAGATGTCAGTTGATTTCCAAGTGAGCTATTTGACTTATACAAGTACTCGGGAAAGATTGTTTCAACTGAAGGCATCTTTATTACAAGGAAAAATATCTCAAAGGTTTAAATATTATATAGGTGAAAGAAAAACGAATAACCAAACGACAAAGATAGGGGAGAGAAGTGACGGGCAGGGTAAAGAAGTCGGAGATAAGTTCGGCGCTCCGTGTTTAAAGTGAAGCAAAAAGGCAAATAAATATAAGATAATTAAATTAATACATTTGTGCAAGTATATATAAGGAATCACATATTATTAATTTTTTAAATATTAAATATGCTGCTTTGTGGTCTTTAAATGGTTGTTATTTTATGTGACTTCAGAGGATGCTTTTGTCAATGGTCATTGGTTTCATGAGACACTCCTGATACTGGATGTAGGATTAAATGATGTTAACTGTATCACTTTGATGAGTATGTTATGTATGCAACTAAGAGTAAAACAAGAAGCGTCATTTAAATCAACAGAACGAGCATTGAATTTCAAGAAAACCGATAGTAAAGAGGTAAAATTACCTATACTTAATTGATAGACTTAAGAATAGAGAATGTAAGGAGCAGTCTAAAGGAAAGAAGCTGTATGACAAATCTTTTAATGGCTAACGTCATAGTCAAAGTCACATATTTCAAACTCACTAGTTCCCTTTTGTTCTTTAAGGCACAAAATGAAAACGAGCATCAATATATGTAGACATGTCCAGCAATACGTGATCCGATTTCTCGTTTAAAATGATTATTTAGAGATGTATTTGTTAAGATAACAAATGACTGGTAGTTGAATTTTTCCTTATTGATGTGAATAGGCCTTATGTTCCCATATTATTGCCCATAGTCTTTATTCGAAAGGAGTATTTTCATGCAAAGTGAACCAAAGTTTCGATCTCACCTAAGTCCCATCAGCTACCTCAGCGGGCGTCGAACAGTGATAGTGTAGCATATAACCTAGACACCTTAACCTTTACGGTACACTGCCACACGGAAGGTGTGAATTTCAAGAAAGGCCAAGCACCTTCTCATATTACATTGTGAGGAAGGATTTTAAAGGAAGTAAAATTTTATTAGCACACAACTACACTACTTATTTTAAGTTTGCCTGTAGGTTATTTAGACTACATCTTAATGTCTTACTGGTAGTCTTGACAACTTATTTATAAACGAAAATATGCAATGATGCATGAGTTCAGATGTTACCATCGTTTTTATCACTACTGTTTTTTATTTATTCTACAAATACTTACACGTGAACATATATACCAACATTAATCTGTATTAACCTTAATGGAAATAACAAATCACTCTAGGCATAATTAAAATGCATAGGTTTAAACCATATTTACATAATATAGTGATAAGCCGAGGAAGTATCATGACACTTTTGCCAGAATTAATTTTGATAAAACGAATGGTGGGATTATATCTATTACATAACAGAACAAAGCTTAGTTCGTCTGTATCGTTATCGAGTGGGATTTCCTAATGGACAGTGTCAACTTCTGATTAAATTATGCTTAGGGCCACAGGCTCGCAAGATTCATTCAAAATACAAAATAGTTCAACATCTTACTTATTTTTATTAGACTGATTAACATCAAGATTATATGGCCTATATTATTAATTCGAAATAAGTAGCTTGCACTTTTTTCGCAACATCTTTAAATGGTCCAAGACATCGTAGCAATAATAACTTTTCTCTTCCTACCGTGTACTTCGTATATTCCTAAACGTTTCGCCTGTATTGTAGTCGGCCTCATCAACAAGCCTTGCCATACATAGCGTAAAAATACAACTATTTAAAGATTCACAATAAAGGAGAACTTCTAGCTTTAATAGATAACTAAAAGCATCGTAAAGCACATGTTAGGGAAATTCATATACATAATTCTCAATAAGTTAAACTAGAGGCTAACGTGTAGCTTAAAGAATTCATACTAATTTCCTGACATTTTTAAACTATATGAGTGCCAGAAACAAAAATGATGGTAAGTTTTAAACTACAATCCATGTACAAAAACATCTCGGACGAGAAGGCCATCATGACCCTGCTGGAGATCTTTGAAACTAGAAGAGAACCTCCTGGAAGCATATCATATATGGAAAGTGTCCTCAAATTCTTTGATAAACTTGACAAAATGTACCGCTTAGCTTCCTTTTAATGGCAATATAAATTATCTATAATCTGACTACACATAGGATATTTACTCTCATATTTTTGCAAATACTATACATGAACAGGTTGTTAAAAAAATTCATGAAATCATTGCAAAAATCAAGAGTTCATATGTGCTACCTTATTAGCTAATTTTCAGTTCGATCACATATTAACACAGATTTATTTTTGAGAATTTCCTTTCGTATTAAAATGCACAAAAAGATATTCAAAAGTCGATGGTTGAATCTTGTTGTACTGCACCCATTTGGAATTAATATTATGTTCAGTTTGACGCAGTCTATAAGACATTCTTCCTTATTTATGGTGAAATGCTTACATAAGTAGTACTTGATGGTGGACAAACATGATTTCTTTGGTTCATAAATAGAATCTCGAAACCGCTAGTAGATCATATAAATGAAGCTTATTCATCCTATTTAGTTTGGAGTAATAAGGGGATTAGTAATGGAATTTTCTCACAATGTTATGAGTCTCCCAGCAGAACTAAAACTTTAAAATCGCAGTGTATGATCTCAACACGATAGCAACTACGCAACATTGCCCCGAGTGCTCTTTGGCCACATGGCAATGTGAATTTCAATGAAGTTTAGGCATTTTCCCATATCACATTCTGTGGTGGGGTTGTTGATGAATCGAATTTAACTTTGCTATTACAATCTACTACATTACTTATTTTTCTTTTGTATTAGCTACTACAACTTCTTTTTACAAAAAATCTTACCATATATATTTTTATGGTAAAATGCCTGGTCTTCCTTGAAAATCACATCTGGCCTTGGG